CTCTGAAAATCGGTCTTCTGTGAAAGCTACATATCGCCGAATTCGTGATTATTTTGGCATACAAAATTGACCCTAAGAAAAAACCATTCGTAATATAGTGCGTAAATTCGAAACTACAGGTTCTGTAACCTACGAAATGAACTTGGTGATTCCACCAAAATTTTTAAACTTAAAAAAAAAAATTATTAAAGTATTAACTACAATTAAAATGTTGTCTACTACGGTTACACAAGTTTCGGTTGTTCCGGTGTCAACCTTCGGGCCTTCGACGTCGCTCAGACGGCAGCTAGGGGGTGGATAGCTTACAAAAATTCCGGAAATAGTAGACAAATAAATAGGCGCCAACTGGGTCTATATAGTGGCCAAACTATGATCCTATTTCCCCAAAAACCCAGTAAATGAGGAAAGAAATAAAAGACAAACCTCAACTTATGTTCCTTTATAAAGAAAAAAAATATTTACTAAATATACAAACTAATTACCTAATGGCTTAGGTGATCAAAAAAAAAATTGGAGGACATTAAAAGGAAAATTTACACTGTATATGTATATGCATAACCCAAAATAAATTATTTAATCAAAATATGGCACGGTTCGTCGTTAGCTTGGTACCAGGCATGACGCATGCGCAAAATATTAATTTCCACATTACATAAAAAATAAAATATAAAATAATAGTTAACTTAAATATTGTGCATAACCGCACCTATACTACATCGTATATTATAAACTAAACAGTAAACTTGAAATCCTTATAAGCTTATAACCCTCTCCAAATTGGAAGGCGATATCTGCTTAACTTTTAGTTAAGACCAAACTACCCAAAAGAAAATTATTAAACCATGAAATTTTATAATTAAGTATAATTCATACAACTAAATAAAAATATAAAAAAAAGAAAATAAAAATACAACATATAAAGGACTTTAGACACAGAGGTTATTTACTTAAACTCCCAGGTTGGAAGAGGTTACTTAATCTCTGCCCCCACACGGGTCTTCTGAGATTGCTTAACTTAATCGTTAAGTCTGGACCATTTAATAATGAATAAATTGAAAAAAAGTAAAATTATGGCAGTAGCCCTTAATAACTGAAGAATTACAACTTAAACGTGGAAGCAGTCCAAGTGTTCTGCGACCCGAAGGATTACTACATCAGCATTAAGTGCTTAAATTAAGTAAAAATTTAAAATATTAATCAATTAAACGATGTAACATTTGATAATACTTAAGTTATGAGTGAAAGAACCCTAGAACATTCTGTGCTCAAAAGTATAAATAATGTTGAGAATACCTTGACAACATTCGGTTGAAAGTGAATGTATAGTTTAACAATGCACGCATGAAACCTTCAATATAACGTATAAGAAAAACCTGATAGTAGGGTGTCTTCTTTCACAGCATTCCCATCTTCCTATCCAGAACGAGAATCATCATTGTAAATCTAGCTGCAAGTAAGCTAGGTGGCTAGCATACCAATGTTCTGTGTTCCCTCGATGAAACCGTTGAACTCCGGACGATATAACCCTCTGTGTACAACTGTTGAAATCCTGGGTCAACAACCCCCTGGGTGAAACTGTCGTCTAATCCTGGGCTAACAAGCCCCTGGGTGAAACTGTCGACGAATCTTGGGCTAACAAGCCCCTGGGTGAAACCCTTAAAATATTACAAAGAAAAATGTCAATACACATTGACTCAAGTATCCCGAACTATAGGATTACCCAAAAATGTACATAAACTAGAAACTATTCAGCATCTAGGATGAAGAAAAATTACATTGGCTCAACAGTGAGTCATAAACAGTATTATGAGCTCAATTAATTAATATTCTGTTACACCATGCCATAACATAAAAGAAATTGACAGCCACATGGTGCGTAACATAACCAAATATATACAAAACATACCTTTTTTGTAAAGGGTTAACTTGGTAGCCTTCCAAGGATGAGAAACACGTGAGATGATCCACAGCACAACAATATTCCACACTCCAAATGCTGTGAACTCCCAATTATTGCGTTAAAATCCTATAATAGATATGGGCTGGACCAATGACCATAAGAATTTACCAATACACTAAAATTCCTCTCAAAATACGAAATGTCCATTTACCCACAATTAACCATGAAGTAGAATCTAAAATCCCCTTTAACTAGGGTAAGCCGATGGGGCTAAATATTAACAAAATTCTACTTCGACGCAAAAATCGTCTCTCGTGACTCAACACCACTGACAGAAACAATACGTCAGCCGTCCAAAATGGCCGAAATCCCTTTCCGATAAATGTCAAGTGGGTTCAGAAATTCATCCTCAAGAATTCCCCACTATATAACTTAACAGACCATTTACGAAAGGTACCCTAAAAACTATATTTATATACAGTATAACTACATTTGGGAAACTGTTCCCGACAAAAAAATTAACACAACAGCGATCGCAAAAAAAAATCCCTCACGACTTAAAATCGCTCATTGTGAAACTACCTTACCTCGGGTTCTGAGCCCGATATTGGAACGTCCCACCAACATGATACTTGTCGGTGTTCTGTCGTCAAATGACGTTTATGTCATTCACTGTCACAATTAAAAAATATTATCCTAACACTGACAGCCATAACAAAAATAACCAAAGAAAATCTTAAAGAATGGTATCGTAAATAATTAATTACCCAAAGGTGAGACTATAATACATAATATGTATAAATTTACAACGAAACTTGGTCTATTTTTAGGAGAACTACTATCCTTTTACTTAGTGGTGAGATGAAATAAATTGTAATAATGATGTCCGAAAGTTAGAATACAGGTGAAATTAGTTAATGACCAAAATAATAGTGATATCATCCATACGATTTTACCCTTTTTTTTCGTATGATTAACCAGGTAAGCCAAAACAATTTTATTAATTCGTGGGGTCAAAAATGAACGTTACAGTTCTGTGCAAGATATTAAAACAAAACAGCGTGAACGTCCAGCTCGCTCGGTTGATAATATTGAAGCTGTTCGTCAAAGTGTGGCTGACAATCCCCAACTGTCTATTGTAAGGCGTTCGCAGCAAGTGGACATCAGCAAAACCTCAACATGGCGAATTTTGAAAAAGGATTTGGCTCTCTACCCTTACAAGATTCAGCTAAAACAGTAGTTATAGCCAGCAGACCATGGACAACGCCGTGCTTTTGCTAACTGGATCCTACAGAAAGGCAGACGATGATTATGTTTACAACAAAATCATCTTAAGCGACGAGGCCCATTTTCATTTGAGCGGTTACGTAAATAAGCAAAATTGTCGCATCTAAGGCAATGAAAATCCTAGACAAATCCATGAAAGGCCAATGCATGCTCAACGTGTCACGGTTTGGTGTGATTTTTGAGCTGGAGGTATCATTGGACCTTTATTTTTTGAAAATGAAAAAGAACAAGCGATATCGAGCGATGATTAACGACTTTTTATGGTATGAGATAGGGGACATAGACTATAACAATATGTGGTCTCAACAGGATGGTACGACATGTCATACAGCAAGAGAAACGATGGATTTATTGCGTACAAGATTCGATGGGAGGATTCTCTCAAGAAATGGGGACGTAAATTGGCCACCTAGATCATGCGACTTGACGCCGCTGGATTATTTTTTGTGAGGTTATGTAAAAAGCAAAGCTTACGAAAACAATCCCCAAACAGTTTAACAGTTGAAAGAGGATTTTCGATGCATAATTCGTGAGATAACACCACAAATGTACTAAGATGTTATGGAAAATTTCAACAAAAGAATTGTTTCCTGCCAGAGAAGTCGTGGTGGCAATTTGCTAGATATTATATTATACGTTTAATTGTAAAGATTTATACTTCATATTGCAATAAAAAATTGTCATTTATGTTGTAAACGTTTTCTTTTATTTATTATCAACATCCGGAAACTCTTATTGGAACACCCTTTACAAGGTAAATTACTACTATTACCATTACCGCATGTAATTACATGCATCTGGCTTTTTTTAACGTAGTATTAGAAACTTCAATCTAGCCATGCCTTCACACTGGTACAGATCGTTGACCTGCAAAATGGCTTCTTCTGATGGATTGTTGACACTTATGCGCCTTTTTAGACGACAGTGTCCGGTAAGAAGACCTACTGTTATCCTATAAATTTGACATTTTTAATCAAGTAGGTATTTTGTGAACTTGGCTGGTGTTTCCTGATGAACTGTTTAACCTGTCTTAATCTGTATAGTTGTTCCACCATTCTTAAGACTCTTTTTGTCCACATTGTTTGATAAATGCCTTGCACATTGCCACCTGTACAAGCCACTCAGCTGATCGTGCTAGCTGCTAGCTGCTGAATAGCGCGACTGCATGGTAGGCTCATGTTGAAAGGTAAAGTTTGCCGGTGTCATTATTGTTTCCTTCTTATATTTTCGTAAGACGGATGTTTGGTTAGAAATAGTAGAAGATTTTGAACGCACCCAATTACAATGAACGTTTATTATTCAGGAAATTTTCTACTATAATAATATAATTAAATTACTTGTACCTCTTCGAATGTTCTAGATGTTGAAAGCAAAAGTGGTCCTTGTGGACGATTTCAGCGATACAGTCGCTCGTCTGGACATTACCTACATTTTAACAATGAATTGGATACCAAGCGTTTACCTGGCGCTAATAAGTGTCGTCTCCGAGTGGTTCAACTGGACAGCCTCTTACTTTCAATTAATATGGTATATTAGGTTATACTTTATAAAGCTCCTTTTTACTTTTCTAATAAAATAAAGTTGGTTGTAGTGGTCGTATGTCAAGCCCAGTAGGTTTATCTGTTCATCGGTCCTTTTTGCTACATTTCAATATTTTTTTATTTGTTACTGATTTATTTATATGTAGCAAATAAAGCATTATTTTTAATAATAGTATTATTCGCAAGTGGAAAACGTTTTGTAACCGCTGTTCTATATTGTCGCGGTTTATTAGTTAACCTGTTTCACCGATACACCGTGTATACAAACAAAACATCGATATCGCCGTCGCAGCAGGAGTTTCAATTTCATACCACGTCACCACTATCCTTTTCTCATTCTAAATATTTAATCAAATCTATAATCGCATCATTCAAGCAGCACTTTACCCTCTAGGGACGGTTAGTTTCACTTATCCGTTAGTTATCCTTAATCCTTGCATTCGTTCGGCGAACGCTAAACATAATGTCCTGCGACGTGAGGTCCTTCTACAAGGACAAAAACGTGCTCCTGACAGGCGGTACCGGTTTTTTGGGGAAAATGATCGTTGAAAAGTTACTGAGGACTTGTGACGTAGAGGGGATTTACTTGATCGTGAGACCTAAGAAGGGATTAGCGCCTGAGGAAAGGTTGAAAAGTCTTTTTGAAGAGCCTGTAAGTATTTAAATTAAACGATGAAGATGTAGGAATTTAGATAAAGAAAATTTTATATATGTGTTTGATATTCAGAAAATGTATTTGAATTTTGTTTTCACGAACAGTGTGTACCGCAGAGAAGTGTACTTGGGCCGCTACTTAAGCAGAGAAGTTAGTTTTGTATAATTTTATTAGATTGAAAACAAAGTTGATTATTTTAGTTTTTGATATTCTTAATGGAAATATAAATAGAAATAGTACAATAATAAATATTAAATATTAAAACTTGTGGTTTATTAAGTAAAGAGAAAATAATAGACGAAGACAAACATTTTACGTTTCTACGAATTTACCGCAGAAATTATTTACTTAAATCCTTTTTTTATTATATTAAGTTGGTTAAACATTGGAAGACAGATTTATAAAAAGCGAAAACTAAATTTTACAAATAAAATTAAGGCTTTTTCCATAATTGTATAATATAATCAGGAAGATCTATTATAGTATTTCGTAAATTATAATTAATTCTTAACATAGTTTTTCTATTATGATTTAAAGATAAAACCGTAGTACCTTTTAATGCTACAATACGGGCCTTTTACATTTTTTAAAGACGACTACTTTTAAACAATGTGGGCCTTTATCAGATCTAAAAAATGGTTTTGTTATTAATTTGCTCACAAGAATTTTTCACATCATTTCAATGACATACAGGTAGTGTTGTGGAAACCTTTTAATAATTACCAATAAAAAAGTAAATATATAGTTATAGAAAATCAACATCAGTTTAAAAAATTTGTAAATAATGTATTTTGATTTAAAATAAGTAGTTAATTAAAAAATATTCTTTAAAATCTATTTTTTATACTGGGTATTTACTTAATAATCAGCAATATAAGTAAAACTGTTGATTTATAAATTTAGCTAAATTTATCTAAATTTGTATATATCTATATACAGTGAGCACCATAAGTCTTACCCCCCTATCTAACTCGTTATTGGAGTCTTGTTAGGAAAATCGCCGAGACACGTCGATTTTTGATTTCTACAATGTACATTTTTGTAAAAATAGTTTACCCTTAATTTCATCCCTTACTGGAGGGGAGGAATCCTTTCGAAAAATTTAAATGGCATGAGGTGGTGAGTGATAGCTCATTTGAAACAGGGTTTTATTCTATATTCAATTGTGTAAAAAAATTTGAAATTTGCTTCATTAATTCTCGACTAATTGTTGTTTCAGAATAACGGAAATTAACGTAGCGCACTCATCCTTAGAATTAAAATTTGGCCCTGCATGATTTCGGTTTTGGTTCAGACGTGAAGTAAGACTTTTTGCCATTAGAAGGTCACTGTTAGTCTAGTTGCTTTCCTATTTTGTGAGGTTTTGTTATTTTTAAACATTAATAAATCAACACGTAATAAAGCAAATTTCAAAAATTTTTGCACGGTTTAATAGAGAATAAAACCCCCTTTCAAATGAGCTATCACTCACCACCCCATGCTATTTAAATTTTTCGAAAGGGTTGCTACCCTCCAGTATGGGATGAAATTAAGGGTAAACTAATCATGCAAAAATGTACATTGTAAAAATCAAAAATCGACCTGTCTTGGCGATTTTCCTAACAAGACCCCAGTAACGAGTTAGTTAGGGGGGGTAAGACTTATGATGCTCACTGTATAAATAGGAAAAGACAAAACAGTTCAGTACCATTTTCTCTTCTATTTCTGTATCTGTAACGTGTGGAGGATTGGCTACCCCCACAGCATTTAGGCCTCATTATGCCCTTTGTGCATCCTCCTAAGATGATAGGCACCTCCTATCTCGTGAGAAAGTCTGCAGATTTAATGTAGTTGATGACGTCGCCAAGAGGTGTTTCTCTTATATCGGCCGGTGTTAGCCGATACTCGCCGAACACAAATCTTCTAGTAAATGAGAGCGTCGAGCAATCGTAAAGGATATGCTCGATGGTCTCATCTTCTTGTTCGCACTCGATGCAGAGTGCGGATTCTGACAACCCCACGATATGGAGATGTTTCAGTACTTGGCAATGACCAGTCAGAATGCCTGTGACTAGACGCAGATTCTGTCTAGTCATAGTCAAGTATTTGTTTGCTGCAGTGTTGTCAGGATAACTTAAGAGCTCCCTGGCAACTCTGCAGTTTCTTGTTTTATCCCATCTTTCATTGAATTTCACAAGGGAATGTTCTTTAATTAAGTTTGTCACTACCGATTTGTCAGGCCAATAGAAGGGCCAGGTCCAAAAAGTGTATTTGGTTGGCTGCTTTCTTGACTAGTGAATCAGCAAGACAGTTACCTTTCGATGTGGCGTGACCTTTTTTCCATCTTAAGGTGAACACATTGTTGATTGATACTTCGACCAAAGCTTCGTGACATTCTAGTACTAACCCTGAGTAAATTCGCGGTCTGTTCAGGGTGAGTATTATTTGTCTGCTATCTGTATAGATGAGCATGTTTCTTCCAGTAATATTGTTTCTGGTTATTTCTTTTGCTGCTATGTTTGAACTACTCTAGCACAAATTTTGTCTAATTTTGTCTAATTTTGTATAATTTTGTATAATTTTGTCTAATTTTGTCTTAATTTTGTCTAATTTTGTCTAATTTTGTCTAATTTTGTCTAATTTTGTCTAATTTTGTCTAATTTTGTCTAATTTTGTCTAATTTTGTCTAATTTTGTCTAATTTTGTCTAATTTTGTCTAATTTTGTCTAATTTTGTCTAATTTTGTCTAATTTTGTCTAATTTTGTCTAATTTTGTCTAATTTTGTCTAATTTTGTCTAATTTTGTCTAATTTTGTCTAATTTTGTCTAATTTTGTCTAATTTTGTCTAATTTTGTCTAATTTTGTCTAATTTTGTCTAATTTTGTCTAATTTTGTCTAATTTTGTCTAATTTTGTCTAATTTTAACTAATTTTAACTAATTTTAACGAATTTTGTCTAATTTTAACTAATTTTGTCTAATTTTGTCTAATTTTGTCTAATTTTGTCTAATTTTGTCTAATTTTGTCTAATTTTGTCTAATTTTGTCTAATTTTGTCTAATTTTGTCTAATTTTGTCTAATTTTGTCTAATTTTGTCTAATTTTGTCTAATTTTGTCTAATTTTGTCTAATTTTGTCTAATTTTGTCTAATTTTGTCTAATTTTGTCTAATTTTGTCTAATTTTGTCTAATTTTGTCTAATTTTGTCTAATTTTGTCTAATTTTGTCTAATTTTGTCTAATTTTGTCTAATTTTGTCTAATTTTGTCTAATTTTGTCTAATTTTGTCTAATTTTGTCTAATTTTGTCAAATTTTGTCAAATTTTGTCATTTTGTCTAATTTTATCTAATTTTATCTAATTTTATCTAATTTTGTCTAATTTTGTCTAATTTTGTCTAATTTTATCTAATTTTGTCTAATTTTTTCTTATATTGTCTCCGTAAGTCTAAATTTACCCAAATTTGTCTAAATTTATTTAAATTTGTCTAAATTTCTTTATATTCAACAAAATTTGTCCGAACCCGCCACCATTTATTTATTAACTTTATTCCATTTGGCTGTTCCACATTATTTTAAAAAGGTAATCTAAATAAAAAAAGTTATCACTAATCTAGTCAATTAGTGACAAAATATCATAAATATACAATAATTCCTCACTAAGAACCTATAGCTGATCCAATTTATCAAAATGTATCCCTAAATTAACTTCGATATCAATAATTCATATAATCTACCCTCATCGAATTGAAAAATCGAATTCCATTTGAATATTTTACAAGAAAGGGATTTTATTACTCATGAAACAAATAAAATGTCCTCGTGGATCTTTAAGACTAATAATTAGTATAAAACTAGAAGGTCATTACGAGTACTTTTAATATTTCATTTGTGGTCAAAAATGAATTCCTAATTTATGATAATAGTATTACCATTGTAAAAATAATAAATATATCTAGTAGGTCAATGCTTATGAAGAAAAAGTTTGATTTTATTTTGCTCGTCACCTGGCGGTTCCAAGCGGACAGTACTGTTTTCTAGATCATTGTATAAAGAACTAATAGAAGTCTCACCTTATGGAAGTTTCATTGGGGCGAAATGGATACTACCAATAGATGGCGCTAGTGAATATGGATAAGTCGATATTCGTTTGCAGTGGGCAGAGTTGAGGGTCCACCTGGAATTTTAGTGAATGACGGAGACCGATTGATGGATTTCTATTTTTAGCTCTTGGATGAAATTTTATTCACTCGTGATTCATTGTTTGGACTATTTTCTATCTAATGTTTGTTTTTGTGCGTTAGTGCGTATAGGGGTAGTAGGTATTGTGAATGAGTTGTGTTTATGTTTTATTACTGAATTATATAAAAAAAATTAAATTATAGTTTAAATTAGTTTTTGGAAAGTGTCAAAAATGTTTACCGAATTCAGTAAAATGATACTGAAAAATAAAAATATTATAGCTATTAATAATTTTTGAATTTTCAACTTTAACACCCTGCATTTCGAAAACGGGTATTTTTTTTTTCTAAGCATATTTCGTTTAATAGTTTTATTTTTAATCAAATAATCTTCAGTTGTACTATGTCCCATTCTTAATGATATATATTATAATATAAATTAGTTAACTATTAATTAATGTTTTAAAATTAGAATTAAAAATTTGTGTTTTTATAACTGTTTTGAAATTAATAAAATAGAAAATATGCTTTGGTTTTTCTTCTCCTTTACAGGTTTTATCCGAATTAATTTAAAATAAATTATATAATATTAATAATAGCAATAATAATACATTTCTTAAGTGTTGAGAAAAATTGTAATTTTAATTCAAATACATATACCTATAGGTAGGTACTGTAGAGGTGTGTCGTTCGCGAACGATTCGTTCAAAAAGAACGAATCAGTGCACTGACTCGAATGAATTGATTCCGTTTTTAAAAGATTCGAATCTTTTTTGAGTCAATTGCTCGATGGCTCTGCGATCGATCAAACATGCCGAGTTCCGAGTTTGGTTGCTTCGTT